CATTGCGTTCATCCCAGTAGAGAATTCTCATGTGATTGAAGTGATGTGGCTTCATCAAAACAGAAAACTAAGTAAAAAATTGATGCGGAACAAGAGGAATTCCATCAAAATAAAGTTTTGAATTAAGGTGACATTTGCTGAGTTCTATGTTGCCATGCTTGGATTTGTGAATTTCCGTCTTTATCAAATGATTGGACTTTATTATCCACCTCAAGTACAGACAGGACAAAATATGGTCAATGCAGGTCAGAAATTCTTTAGCTTCATTCTACACTAAGCTGATCGTTGTTTTTTTTTCGATACTATTATAAATCTACATTGTTCTGAAAGTCACATAACCGTCATATACAGAATTTGGTGTGGTGATGGTAGAGAGATGAGAAAAATTGAGTTGTACGGATCTTCGGCAAGTTTATATCGGCGTCCGCAATGAGTTCAAAAGTTGGAAATTTCAAGTCCATTGCGCTGAAATATCTATCAGATTTTGCGATCAATCGCAAGTTCAGCAAGCGATTTGCCGCAAAGTCTGGCCGTGCATATTTATCCCGTTCTCTGTTATGAGTCCGTGCATCTTGTCTCATGCTTTGTGTTCAATAGTCTTTCTTCATTTGGCGCTCATTTTATTCGGCTCAAACTCTCCCATTAATTTCTATTTTATTTTTCCTGTGAACTAGTAATATTCAATTTTCATGTCCTTCCGCAAATGTTTTCCATTTCATTCATCAGCTCTTTGTTCGATTCTTGTGTTGCATTCTGCCAGCAACGTGTTACATTTACTAAACTATGCTTTTGTTTTGTTCTTTGTTCAATCACTGATCATTGTAGTGATGTGCATGCTTTGTTAGTAGGCTTTCTGCTTTCATTTCTTTGGCGACACAGGTGAATCATGTGCGTTCAGGCTAGCCAAATCTATGAATACTTCCCATGCATTCGATACCAGCACTCCTCATGATATTCTAATAAGACATAGAGTCTTCACTATCTTGATCCGGTTTTGCTTAATGTTGTACATTCTATCTCTTCTTAGATGACTCCGATGACGAAGAACGTGTGGAGAAGATTTATAGCTTGGCGCGGCCTTTGGCTAAAAGAACAGGTGCCGAGAGCGGAAAGGATGAAGAGGTTGCGAATTCCAAATTCTTTGCTTGTTTTTGCTATGTTACGAAGTTAAAGCTGTCACTTTTTAGGAGGCTGTGGAGATGTTTGGAGATGATGACAATGCCTTGGCCGAGAAGTTTAAGAATCAAACTTATAAAGTAAATAATGCCGAGGAGTATCTGACGCAGCCTGAGCATTCAGGAACTGTTTCTGTTTTTTTTTCTAGAATTCTTCAACGAACTAGTTTTTTCCTCAATAGAGAAACTCCTAAGGAAGCATTGACATTGATAATTCGTAATTGTGGAGGTGTGGTTGGTGAGTGAACTCGCCTTCGAGAGATCTTATGTACTTGTTAATCGACGATGATGTAGGATGGAGTGGAGGTCCCACTAATTTGGAAGAATCAAACCCATCTATCAAAACCCCCCCCATTCCCAATTGGTGGACCGACCATGTGTAACTCGTGTGAACCGGTAACAATTCTCCACACTTTTCCAGAAATCGATAGTCTTTCACTTATTCTTTTTGTTATTCTTATTCTTCTTTTTGTTTTCCTTTATTTTACGTTCACTGAAAACACCATTTCAGAAGGTACATCCAACCACAGTGGGTGTTCGACTGCTTGAATGCTCGACGAAAATTGCCTACGGAGAAGTAATTTTTTGTTCGTTCATATACAGGCGAATAACCTTCGAGACAAATCAATTTTAATTGAGGGCGGGCAATATTTTAGGTATATGGTAGGTGTTCAGCTACCTCCACACTTTTCACCTTTCACAAAAGACAAGCCTGGAGATTATGTGCCTATGGAAAGACTAGAGGAGCTTGAGAAGCATCGGGCAAGGTCAGGCGTCTAAAGTTTTTGTTTCACATAATATCATTTCCACGGAAAAGTTTCGAGTGGTCTGTACTCCAAATGACGTTTTTTTCTGCTCAATGCTTCTTTTTTAAGACATCTCTGCTCTTGTTGCGAGTGAGCCTGCATTGCCACCTAAACCAAAGGCTAAAAAAGAGAAGAAAGTGGAGG